GCTACTGTACCAGACCTGCTCATACGTCTCCCTCCTCTGCTTCAGTCCCTGCCTGATACCGTTTCCAAGGTAGTCGTGCATGTGGGAATTAACGACATGAAACTTCAGCAGTCAGAAGTCACGAAGAAACATTTTATGGATCTGTTCCACCTCCTTCAATCCTCCGGATTATCTGTTTTTATTTCTGGTCCAATCCCAACTGTAAACAGAGGTGACTGCCTCTACAGTCGTGTTGTGGCGCTGCATATGTGGATCCAGGCTACATGCAGCTCTTTTAACTTTGTCTTTCTGAATAACTTTGCCCTTTTCTGGAAACGTTACGAAGCCTATCGTCCAGACGGATTACACCCAAACAGATACGGTAGCAGCCTGTTGATGGACTACATGCGCCATGTTGTTCAGTGCTCCCCGAGGGGGGCGTGACTGTTTACATCTGAGCCCCCTCGGACCCCACCGCACTCCCCCGCCTCCTGCTCACCAGCACCGGGTGAGTACAACGGTGCAAACACTGCTCCCTGTCCGTCTGGCAGTGCATTACCAGTCCAAACACTGAACTGTGCTGACTCCCTTCTGACTCTGGGAGCTAAAGAACAACAAGGGTTTTCACATTTTAGGCCAATTGAGACTGTGTGTGTTCCTCGCACCAGCTCAAAAATGTTTTTAAATTCTAAAAAACGAAATCAAAACAGGACAGCAGTTAGACGGTCCAACTCTGCAAATCTAATTTCTGTTCCCTGTAGAAATCAATCAACCACATTAATCGACTCTGACGTTATTTTTAAACTTGCTATGCTTAATGTCAGATCTCTATGTAACAAATCATTTTTAATTAATAATTTTATCACTTCTTATGATCTTGATTTTATGCTTATGGCTGAAACATGGCTGGACCAAAATACAGGAAATGCAGTTCTAATAGAAGCAACACCACCCAATTTTAAATTCGAATCCGAAATACGAGAAAACAAAAGGGGGGGAGGCATAGCTGCAGTTTTTAGAGACCACTTTGTCTCCCATAGAATGCCCCTTGGAAATTTTTCATCGTTTGAGTATATTTCTTTTAAAATGGAACAAAAGCAATCTTCTACTCTTTTCATTGTCCTGTACAGGCCACCACAGTCATGTTGCGATTTTATTGACCATTTTACTGAACTACTTTCATTCGTGTGCACAGATTTTGATAGTTTAGTTATTACAGGTGATTTTAATGTACATGTTGATAATGTTGATGACAGAAATGCAAAGGAGCTGGCTTCTGTATTTGAGACCTTTGGTTTCATTCAGCACGTGAGTGGCCCCACCCACAGCAGAGGGCACACTCTTGACCTGCTAATTACAAAGGGGGTTAATGTATCAAATGTTAATGTAGTTGATGTTGCTTTGTCAGATCATTTCTGTGTATTTTTTGACATGTGTTTTGCTAGCAAACCACCAGCTGAATTTACAATTGTTAGAAGAAGACACATACATGAAAACACAAGTGAACTGTTCATGGGAATGCTAAATTTTGAGAAAACTCCATGCTCTACTGTTGATGAATTGTATAACTCTGTCACCACCAGTGTTCTGACTGTTCTGGACGCCATTGCTCCTGTGACGGTTAAAATAGTTACCAGTAAGAAAAAGGCCCCATGGACTAAGGCAGACTCGGTCAGGGCACAGAAGCAAGAGTGCCGGAGGGCCGAACGGAAGTGGCGAAAGTCCAATTTCCAGGGCGATTATGAAATCTTTAAAGATGAGTTGGGTGAATTTAACCGGGTTCTACGTAGAACAAGAGAAATGTATTTTTCTGACATTATTGGAGGTTGCAGTAACAATTTTCGTGTTATGTTTTCAACAGTTGGTAGATTAACGAACCCCCCTGTAAAGTTGCCCCTAGAATTTTCCTCTAAATCTAGGTGTAATGAGTTCGCACAGTTTTTCAAGGACAAAGTACAAGGAATCAAAAACACTATCACCTCCACAGCACGTATAACAATGCAACAGCCAGAGAAGCTTTTTGAGCTAACTCACTTTGCACCTGTGGATACTGAAACCGTCAAAAAGATAATCATGAGTCTGAGCTCCTCCACATGTGGCCTGGATATATTGCCCTCTAAATTTCTGAAGTCCGTCCTGAGCAGTTTGTTACCTTCACTGACACAAATAGTAAACATGTCTCTGTCGTCAGGAACATTTCCTATGGCCCTAAAAACAGCAGTCATAAGACCTCTCCTGAAAAATAGCAGTCTGGATCCTGCGGGACTTCAAAATTATCGCCCCATATCGAATCTGCCATTCATTGGAAAAATTCTTGAAAAAGTGGCCTCCCAACAACTTACTGAATTTTTAACAATGAATAATTCTTTTGATATGTTCCAGTCTGGGTTTAGACCCCACCACAGCACTGAGACCGCTCTAGTGAAGGTAACAAACGACATTCGACTTCACACTGATGCAGGTAAAGTCACAGTTTTGGTCATGTTAGATCTTAGTGCCGCGTTCGACACTGTCGACCATGAGATCCTCATGCAGAGACTGGAGGACTGGGTTGGTGTCACTGGCACAGCCCTAGACTGGTTTAGGTCTTACCTGGAGGATAGGAAGTACTTTGTGGAGATTGGAGACTGCGTCTCAGATCATGTGGCCCTGACCTGTGGAGTACCACAGGGGTCGATCCTGGGACCTCTCCTATTTAATCTCTACATGCTGCCATTAGGTCAGTTAATACAAAGAAACAAAGTGTCCTACCACAATTACGCCGACGACACTCAGATCTATGTCTCACTGACTGCAGGAGAACATGGACCACTGGATTTGCTCCTTCACTGTATCCAACAGATCAGTGACTGGATGCAAAATAATTTCCTCCAGCTAAATGCAGACAAAACCGAAATCATTGTCTTTGGTCCCCAGAAACAAAGAGAGGGCGTCATTTGTCAACTTCAGTCTCTCTCCCTACTTCCTTCAGACAAGGTCAGAAATTTGGGGGTAATACTGGACTCAGACCTAAATTTCAATAGCCACATAAAATCAATAACATCAACAGCTTTTTACCATCTGAAGAACATTGCCAAAGTTAGAAATATAGTGTCCAGGGCAGACTTGGAGATTCTTGTCCATGCATTTGTCTCCAGCAGGCTAGACTACTGCAATGGCCTGCTTACAGGTCTGTCCAAACAGACCTGTAAGCAGCTGCAGTACATCCAAAATGCAGCAGCTAGAGTCCTGACAGGAACCAGGAAGTATGACCATATTAGTCCGGTCCTCAGGTCTCTGCACTGGCTTCCTGTGGCTCAAAGAATAGATTTTAAAACAGCTCTGCTTGTGTACAAGTCTCTCCATGGCCTTGCACCAGAATACATTAGTGACATGTTGGTGTCATATGAACCGGCCCGGACTCTGAGGAGCACAGGGACTGGCCTCCTGCTGGTGCCCAGAGTGAGAACCAAACATGGGGAGGCTGCGTTTCAGATCCATGCAGCTAAGATCTGGAACAATCTCCCTGAAAATGTGAGGGAGGCGTCTACTCTGTCAATGTTCAAATCCAGGTTAAAGACTGTTCTGTTTGCCTGTGCATACAACTGAAGGATTTTATCTCCATTTCTAATGCACTGCTGTCATTTATTTATTTTTTTAAATTTCTTGTGTAATTTTGAAAGTTTTAATGGTTTTATTCTTTTGTGTGATTTTAATGTTTTAATTGTGTTTTAATCTTTTGTGTGATTTTAATGTTTTAATTGTGATTCTGGTGTTTGTTTTATGTGATGATTTGTGATGTGGACTGTGAAGCGCTTTGTGTTGCCCTGTGCATGAAAGGCGCTCTACAAATAAACTTTGATTGATTGATTGAAGACGTCAAATTAATAATATGTATTCCCTTTACAATTAACTCATTGACTGCCAGGCGTTTTTGATGATACCACTGCCTTTCCAGACCCACAGAATATTGTGTGCTATGACTGTGTTAAATATAAAACCAGATTCTGAAAGACTGATTTGTCTACTTTTGGGCGGCACGGTGGCAGAGTGGATAGCACTCTCGCCTCTCAGCAAGAAGGTCCTGGGTTCGAATCCCTGTCAGACCAGGGCCTTTCTGAGTGGAGTTTGCATGTTCTCCCCGTGTCTGCGTAGGTTTCCTCCGGGTACTCCGGTTTCCCCTACCACTAAAAATATGTCCAATAGTTCTAGCATGCGCCTCCTGTACTGGCCCCGCTCCCATCTCTGTGTGGAGTGAGAGACAAATGCCCAAAAATTAACAATTGTAAACCGCTTTGAGACTCATATCTGCAGTGAAAAGGCGGTATATAAATAAATACTTACTTACTTACTTACTACTTACTACTACTTTTATCAGCAAAAATAAGTTGGTTTCTAGCTAGTTTTGTTCTCCAGTGATCCCCAGTCCAACAGAGGGAAGTTTGACAGAAATCACCGGTCTCTGACAAACACGTCAATGGCAATCACTGAGTTAAATACTAATACAAGACTCTTAGAGCTCCTATTTCCAATCTCTCCCTGTTCAGACTGACTAACAATGTTGTTCAATGTTGTTTTGCTCCATCTATGGTAAAACCAGATGGTTTATGGTTTATGGTTTATTGTTTTGCACTAAACTCATTGACTTCAGGCTAACATAAAAACACTTTTATGTAAACTTGTTTAGGCGTGTGCTGTATTTAAAATCCACAACAGGGTGAATGATTGATGGTGGTGGGAGGGGCCGATGGCTCAGACTGGTTGCCTCACTTCTGTCAATGGGCAGCTGTAGCTTCAGTCAGTATTTTGTAGTAGTAGTGAAGCATATTTGAGAGTCCTGATGAGCACTATATCAAAGGGCTAATCTCGAATGTTTGTCCGTCACATAAGCACAATAAATGAATGCATGACTAGGAAAGCTATTGACATGTGCATTATATGGACTGGTGTGGGGTTCTTTGTCATCCAGCGTTCTTTAATATATACCTGTTGCTTCATTAGTGTAAACAGAAAAGCCTTGACTCTGCTCTTCCTGAACATAGGGTCACAGCGTACGTGTTGAAGATCTTCACCATGACGTTCTCCATGTTCTCGAACAGAGGTCGACAAATGGACAAAACATACTCCGATGAAATCTGCCTTACACTGAAATTCCTGGTCAAAGCTCAGTCTCTAGACGGCAGCTTCACTGAGACCTTCTTAGTAAAAAATTCAGGCATGTCGGTAAGAGCACACCTGCCCAGAACAAGCGGGAAGTGGGGAAGGCTTAGATTCCAGTCCTCTCTTACAAATAATGAAGAGGTCATATTTTATCCTCTATCTATTGTATTCAATTCTATGTATTTTTGTATAGCCATAAATAAAAACATCAGTTGTCTCGGACTCTTCTGGATCTACAGCCTGTCTGTACGTGGGAGCGGATCCCTCTCTCTATACGTGTATATCTCCCCAAGTTTTCTCACTTTTATCCCACAGTTATTTACTTTGGCGATGCAGCAGGGTCAAAGAACACAATTATTTGGGACATTTGTTAACATTTCAGGACAGTGTTCACACCGCTCCCTCTGGACCAATGGCTCCCATGTGTTTGTTTTTTATAGCATTTCCTGTTTGCAAACTGTGTGATTCTCTGATCTGTTGTTGATGAAGCGACATACAATAGTCTTCTGTCCTGTTAATTATTTCATTTACAAAGAAATGGTTTTGAGCCCATCTGAGATTCTCCTATGTATATTTATAAACCACATGGTATTAAAGAATTATGAGGTACAAACATATTTTTTTCATACATTTATTTTATTGCCCCTTGAAGTAAGATTTGACGCATTGTACAGTTTAGTGTGGAATGAGCCACATGCTCATTGTGCCCCCATCGTGGACCCACACGGGGCAGAGAAAGTGAAGAGTTTCCGATAATCTGTCTAATCCTGTCTTTTCACTCGCACTTAAGTACATTGTGAACGAATGCTACACCAACATTCTAAACGCTTCTGTGAAATGCGCTATATGACTAAAGATGATTAGACAACGTTGCATTTGTTTCTTCAGGGAGGCCTCCAAGGCGCTGATTCTAAAGCTACACTATCTGCGTTCGTCGCTATTGCTCTGGCGGAGGTCAAAGAAGCAAACCTCGACTGTGATCACATGGGAATCATTACACAGGTAAAGATACATTCTGCCATTTCCTTCTGTGAATGTGAGACATGCAGACGACTCAGCTGTGTCACATAAGTACAGTAGCAAGTAAACCAGGGCTCTAGTATTAGAATCATCCAATCTCTCTGGTCTCAGTCTATCTTTCTCTCACTCTCTCTGGCCTCTCTGGTCTTCTCTTGTCTCAGTCATTTTCTCTGGTCTCTCTCTGCTCTCAGATTCAGATTCAGTTTATTTGCCATTTGCAGTAAAAACACCACATTGGAATACATTAGCAAAAGTCTCCAGTGTGCACAGACAAATACAGACATAAAACAACATTAAAAGACAAAAATAAAACAAATAAAACAGTAAACAAAGGTGAAATCGATCGACTAAAACAGTTCAAAACAAGTGCAAATCATTAAAGTTCTCTGTTCACACTGATAACAGCTTGTGGATAAAAAACTGTTAGCGTAACGAGATGTCCTGCCTCTCAGAGAGCGATATCTTCTGCCAGAGGGAAGAAGCCCTGGGAACATGGCTTTCCCAGGGTGGCCAGAAGAGTCATTAACAATCCTAAGAGCTTTGTTTAAAAGTCTGGATTTATAAAGAACCTCCAGAACAGGAAGCTCACAGCCCACGGTCCTCTTTGCAGAGCGGAGCACCTTGTTTAAAGCTCTCTTTTCTTTATCTGTGATGTTTCCAAACCACACAGACACAGAACCAACAAGTAAACTCTCAATGGTGCAGCGATAAAAGTTAAGCAGAATCTTAGAGTTAGTGGTAAATTCTCTAAGTTTACGCAGAAAGTAGAGACGCTGGCGAGCTTTCTTAACGACTCGGTCAGTGTTTTTAACCCATTTCAGGTCATTAGACAGAGTTAGACCCAGAAACTTGCACTCCTCTACGATCTGCACTCGGGAGTTGTCGATTACGACAGGCAAATGAGAACTATTGCGACTGAAGTCGTAGACCAGTTCACATGTTTTCGATGCGTTCAACTGGAGGTTGTTAGTTTTACTCCACTGAACCACATTTTGTATCTCTGCTCTATAAGAGGATTCATCATTGTCACTGATGAGACCGATGATGGTGGTGTCATCAGCATATTTGATGATCAAGTTTGAGTTAGAGGAGGACACACAATCGTGAGTGTACAAAGTAAAAAGCAAAGGACTCAAAATACATCCCTGAGGAGAACCAGTGCTCACAGAAACAACATCAGAAAAACAGTCATTGATTTTCACTCTCTGAGATCTGTCAGTTAAAAAGCTAAAAATCCATTTACACATGGCAACACTTAAACCGAGAGACATGAGCTTTTCAATCAGTTTACCTGGGACAAGGCAGTTAAAAGCAGAGCTATAATCGATGAAAAGCATTCTCGCGACAGATTTACTAGTGTCCAAGTGACTGTAGACAGAGTTCAGAGCAAAGGAGATGGCATCCTCCACACTCCTGTTCTGTCTGTAAGCAAACTGGAGCGGGTCAACACTCACAGGGATCTGGCTCTTAATGAAGTCCAGCACAAGCCGCTCAAAAGTTTTCATAAGAACAGACGTGAGGGCCACAGGACGATAGTCATTCAGGCATGTCACAGGAGTTTTCTTAGGAACTGAAATGATGGTCGACTCTTTAAAGCAGTTTGGCACAGTACAGTTCCTTAGCGACAGGTTGAAAATGTCTGTTAGCACAGGGGCAAGTTGCTCAGAGCACAGTTTCAGGACACGAGGAGGGATGCCGTCCGGGCCTGGGGCTTTCCGGACTGTGGTCCTGGACAAGACACGCCTGACTTCCTCCTGAGTCACGGTGAAGGTACCTTGATTGAAACACTCAGGGAATACAGTAGGACAGGCATCAGTGGATTCAAAGCGACAGTAGAACGTGTTCAGCTCGTTTGGCAGAGCTTGGCCGACAGATCCGATTTTTCCAGCGCTAGGTTTCCACGATGTGATGGCTTTAATACCGTTCCACATGCGCCGAGGGTCATCTTCCTCAAAATAACTCTTTAACCTGTCCCCGTAACATCGCTTTGCAGATTTAATAGAACGTTTCAATGCGTAACAGGATAGTTTATAAGCAACTGTATCATTTGATTGAAACGCCAAAGCACGCTCATGAAGTTTCAGTTTTACTTCCGCGTTCATCCAAGGGTTTTGACTAAAATGTTCTTTAATGACCTTCTGTGGGACACAACAGTCAATACAGAAGCGTATGTATCCAGACACAGCGTCACAGAATTCATTGACGTCCTCTGACTGAAACACAGACCAGTCCGTAGCATCAAAACAACCTTGTAGCTTCATGCTAGCCTCCTCAGACCGACACTGCACAGTGCGAGAGGTTGGTTTATGTTCCCTGCTCCTCTGAGTATACGAAGGAAGAAGGAGAACAGAGGAGTGGTCAGACTTTCCAAAAGGAGGTCTGTGACTGGACCTGTAAGCTCCCTTCACGTTACTGTAGCAGTGATCCAGAACATGTGCTCCTCTTGTAGCTTGAGTCACATGTTGGTAAAAGTTCGGGAGTACAGTCTTTAATTTACATTTGTTGAAATCCCCAGCAACAATGATGACTGCGTTAGGATGAGCAGACTCATGTTTGTGAAGGATCTCGCTCAGATCCTGTAGGGCTACTTTGTAATCCGCACGTGGGTGAATGTAAAAAGCACATAAAAATATCACTGAAAACTCACGGGGAAGATAAAAAGGGCGGCAGCTCAAGACCAGGCATTCCAGATTGGCGGTACATGTTTGGTTCACGATTCGAGTGTCCGTGCACCAGCGCTGATTAATTAAAAAGCACACACTCTCGCTCTGCTCTCTCTGCTCTTTCTTTGCTCTCTCTGCTCTCTTTCTGCTCTTTCTCTGCTCTCTCTGCTCTCTTTCTGCTCTTTCTCTGCTCTCTCTGCTCTCTTTCTGCTCTTTCTCTGCTCTCTCTGCTCTCTTTCTGCTCTTTCTCTGCTCTCTCTGCTCTCTTTCTGCTCTTTCTCTGCTCTCTTTCTGCTCTTTCTCTGCTCTCTCTGCTCTCTTTCTGCTCTTTCTCTGCTCTCTCTCTGCTCTCTCTCTCTCTCTCTGCTCTCTCTCGCTCTGCTCTCTCTCTCTCTCTCTCTGCTCTCTCTCTCTCTCTCTCTGCTCTCTCTCTCTGCTCTCTCTCTCCGCTCTCTCTCTCTGCTCTCTCTCTCTCTGCTCTCTCTTGCTCTGCTCTCTCTCTGCTCTCTCTTGCTCTGCTCTCTCTCTGCTCTCTCTCTGCTCTCTCTCACTTCAGCAGGTGTGAGTTCAGGTGGATAGAAAGTGTATAAAGTGAGGGGTTTCACAGCCTTATAACAAGGTTATTTTACCCCCACAACCATGAACCAATGTCACTGATAATTGCACTTTTTTGCAGCAAGCGTATGACAGAGTATTTCCATACTTGAAATGGGTGCCGAGCACCAGGCCATACACCACGGCCATCGTTTCTTACGCTCTGTCTTTGCTCCCGGGCGGAACGTACGACCCGACCAAAAGGTTGCTGAATGCATCTTCAGGTAAGTCACTCTTCAGGTAAGTCACTACTTTTTCAGGATTTCTTCAGTCACAAGACACACACACACAAACACAGAGACTCAGACGCACACACATATACACACACAGACGCGCACACAGACACACCCATACAGAAACACACACACCAACACAGAGGCACAGACGCACATACACACACAGACACACACAGCCGCACCAACACATAGACGTGCGCACACACACACACACAGAGACACAGACAGACGCGCGCACACACACACACACCCATACAGAAACACACACACCAACACAAACGCACCTACACACACATATATACACACACACACAGAGACACACGCAGACACACACACATGTCACTTGCTCCCACTGATGTTGTTGTGCCCCTGGGCAAGACGCTTTGCTTGAAACCCCAGATGAAAGACCACGTTACAGGAGGATCAAGAACTAGAAAATACCTATTTACTGAAAAAAACCAAAAACAAATCAAAGAATAACATCCTCTTCGCGTTTCTCCTTTCCACGGATCCTTGATGAGCACCTGACTCCTCACGTTGGTCCTACATGTTTTGATCCCTGTATGCACTCATTTTTCTTGTTTTTTGAAAAGTTGTGGTTCCTCTGTGGTTTCCTTTGGTGCAGATGGAACTTTCTGGCCTGATGCAACCGCAAAGATAGAGGCCACTGGGTACGCTCTTCTTGCTCTGGTGAAAATGGGACGTCTAGCAGAAGCTAAAAAACCGTTCGAATACCTGCGTGACCACAGATATATTGGCGGTCATTCTGGAAACACTCAGGTAACTGTTACAAAGACTGACATTCTGGACTACATGAATCTACATTACTACATATGAATCTACATTACTACATATGAATCTACATTACTACATATGAATCTACATTACTACATATGAATCTACATTACTACATATGAATCTACATTACTACATATGAATCTACATTACTACATATGAATCTACATTACTACATATGAATCTACATTACTACATATGAATTTGCATTGCTACATTACTACATATTAATCATACTTTTAGAATAGAATTCAGGGTAAATGTGTTTGTGAAGCGGCTCGTCCAGGGAAATCTGAGAACCCTGTTCCCAAACTAACCTAAAGTTAGAGATTTTACACTTGCCTCTGTATTTTGCTAAAGCTAGAGCTATTTATTTATTTATTTTTCAGCAGGTGTTTCAGGCAAGCGTGAGTGTGAGTGTGAGTGTGTGTGGATAGGGAAGTCTGGGCGTCTCTGCTTAGACTGCTGCGGAAGAAAAAATGGTTTGATGGGTGTTTCAGGCAAAGTGTGGTTAAGTGTGTTGCCCAAGGACACAACAACAGCAAACATCAGTGGGTGTAGGTGGAGAAGGTCTCATGGTGGGCTTGAACCCAAGATCTTCAGGCCCAAAGGTCAATGCTCTACCATCTGAGCCACTGTGAATGTCTTTCCTTCCCAGTCTACGATGGTGGTGCTGCAGGCTCTGGCCGCGTACCTCGTGGCGCAGCCTCCTCCCGTCGACCACTTCCTGAAGGTTTCTCTCCAAATCATCGATGCACAGAGGTCGAGGAGAGAGTCCCTCAGCTTCAACTCTCAGAGCAGCTACCAGATGCGATCATACGATGTAAGTCGGACCTTTGTGTGTGGAGTTTGCATGTTCTTTCTGTGTTTTCATGTGCTTTCTCCCCCATCAACACTGTCTGTGTTTTCAGTTGTCAATAAATGGAGACTTTATGGTGGAAGCTGAGGGAAACGGCGAAGGCACATTAGAGGTACAAGCTAAATATCCTTTAGTGATGGGCAGATGAAGCCCCGTAACACACCAAGGCTTTCTTTGGCACCTTTTTTCAAACGTGCCTCTAAAAAGATACAAGAAACGTACTTTTGTGATCTGATTCATTCTGTCTGTTAGATTGTGACATTTTACAACCAGATTCCAGAAGAAGACACCAAAAGCTGTAAAGCGTTCGACTTCCAGGTCACTATTGAAAGGGCCGAAGGTACAATGTTATTATAGTGTACTTACTTATTTTTCTGTCTTTGTGTGTTCTGAGTGATGGATTCCTCCGGGTGCCACTGAAACAATAGAGAGACAGGTCAATTTATGAAATAAAAAAAATGAGTTTCAAAGAGGTCTTTCTGATTGAATGTACTGTATAATTTTGTTGCGTAACTGCAGCGTAAGAGTGGTTTAATGAGGCTCTGATAATTCTAATGGTGTGTCATATGTTGGAATTACTTACAAAAATAATATGGACCAGAGAGGTTAAAAGGCTTCTTGCTTATCTTGAAATAGACATATGACCTTTCTAGTTGTAAAAAATTGCTAAATTTCAGTTAAAAAATGTAATAAAACTACCTCCCCATGTTTAGTTCTGACTGTTGGAGGCCAGTCCCTGTGCTCCTTAGAGTTCCGCAGAATGAGGCCAGTCCCTGTGCTCCTCAGAGTCCCAGCAGGAGGCCAGTCCCTGTGCTCCTCAGAGTCCCAGCAGGAGGCCAGTCCCTGTGCTCCTCAGAGTCCCAGCAGGAGGCCAGTCCCTGTGCTCTTTAGAGTGCTAACATGTCACAGATGTACTTTGGTCGAGGCTATGCAGAGACTAACATTACAGTCTGTCATTTCACATAACGTTCCTTAACTTAGAACCCTGTTTTGCTAAAGTCTATGTTTGTGTCTTTTACAGACTTTGAAAATAGGCTTCAACCTGGAATCATCAGTGTCTTTGATTTCACTATCGAGCTCAAGTAGGAGTCGTTTGGAACACTTCAATTTGATCCATGTTGAATCTACAGTATTAAGCAGTGCACATCCTGTCTCTTTTTATGCAACTACACCTTTTCTACACAATTGTTTTATTTATATTTTGATACAGTGGTCCCTCATTTATCATAAGATGTACATAGAAGTAGTAGCTTTATGTTTTAAGGCTGTAAAACTCCTCGCTCAAGGAATGAGTCGAGTCGTAAGTCTCTAAGGTCTCTCTGTGGTGACGTCATCATTTATAACCAGGAAGTAGAATCATATGTTCACTGTTTTCTCTGATAAGTCAAGTTTTACCTGTCGTCACATAGACAGTGGTCCCTTGCTGTAACACGGTCCACCTTTTGCGGCCTTGCTTGTTTTGCCTTTATTAGTTACATTTTTTGTGCTTTTTTACCGTGTGCTTTTCACACGCGTACAAACCAAAAACGTTGTGTAACATTAGCAAACCGTTAGTAAAGCACAACAATGACCTTTTATTTAAACTCAAGATCGCTTGTGTGGCGTGTGTAAAAACCCTCCATGCTAAAGCATATAGAAAAGAACAAATCAAATGATGTACTAAATATTTCAGATTGTATCATTCATTATAATTGTATTATTATGGCAAATGCTCTTACTTTGTCACTAGTAACAAATATGCAATAAATATATATCATATAATATATGATAAACAATGACTGTACCCGATATCAGGCTCTTTCACACCCGGGAAAGTAGCTCTCTGGGTGAAAAAGGTTGGAGACACCTGCTTTAGAACATCCCCCTGTGATAAAGCTGGGACCACTAAACTCAAAACACTACTTTTCTTTTCCATTCCTCGGAAAGTCAACATAAGCAGTGATTCTTTGGTGTTTTTTATGCAGGGCTCAGGGGGCGGAGTCTGCTTACTCTGTGGTTCTGGACATCACTCTGCCCACCGGCTTCACGGCTCAAATCAGCGATCTGAAAAATGTGTGACGTTGTACATTTGTGGAATCAGATGTTTTCACAAAGTGATAGTAACATCTTTTTCCGATGCAGCTGTTGAATTCTGTGGAGAATTACATCTCCCACTACTACTTCGACGACAAGCTGAGCGACAGGAGCTCCCTGATCATCCACATGTACAAGGTGAACGAGAGGTTCCTTAGTTATTATTAGGCAAGGCAAGTTTATTTGTATGGCACAGTTCATTCACAAGCCAACTCAAAGGGCTGAAAACAAGATAGAAACAATCACATAAATAAATAATCACAGTTTATTAAAAAGAATGAAGATAAAATCCTTCAGTTGTTGCAGTGAAACAGAGCTGTTTTTATCATGGATTTGAACATTGTCAGAGAAGAAGTCTGTCTCACATTTTCAGGAACCCACTAAACATCCGACGTCCACTCAACCTCCAGATCACGTCAATATCGTGTCGGTCGGTCGTGACCTTTTATTTACGTCCAAACGACGTCTGTGCAAGGTGCGCATCTGGACGTAAAACAATGACCTCCCATATACGTAGATATGACGTTCAATCCCGACCTCCCCTAGACGTCGAAAACAGGTCATCGGCCGACCGACGCAGTAAGTCTTGATCTAGCAATACAATATATAGGCTGTGAAGCAATATAAGTGTACCTGACGGTAGTGTAGTGGTTAAGCAAATGTGTGCAGCCTTGGTTACGTGAGTTCGAGCCCACGTGTGTGTATCATTATCTTTACATATTAGTTTTGATTTTTAACGAACAATTTTTTTCTGTTTGGTTAAAGACTAATAAACACTCAACATAGGATTACATAGTGGCTAATAATAAAACTTGTGAATGTATGCATTTGTTGTGCTAACAATCTCAAGTTTGCAAATAAGGGGTGAGCACTTGAGATTTTATGCAAATGCATGGGTTCACAAGTTTTATTATTAGCCACAACATAATCTTATGCTGAGTGTTTATTTGTTTTTAACCAAACAGAAAAATTGTTCGCTAAAAAGTGAAAAGTCAAAAATTTTCCGACGGGGATTTGAACCCGCATCGTTGCGACTTAAGTCCCATTACGCAACCGCTACACCACCGCCAGGCATGTTTCTGACTACTGTGAAAACATAATACATAAGACCCTAAACAACCGACGCACACTTATGCGCCGCGCGAGTATAACTATGTCTTCGCAGACGTTGATATGACGTTGAATCTGTACCTCTGTCGCTGCCCTGCTTTATTTACTTGGAATCACCCTCTCTACTAAGTACACAGTCTGCACAGTTTTTAGATATAGATGTATCATTTCCACATTGTTGTTGAGTTGGAGACAGAAAGTAAGTTGTTTTCTCACGTATACGTGGATTTTGTTAAGTATATTTTGTATATTATCTGTATTTTGAATTGCCAGTGCATGAATCTATAATAATAACGGCTGGCACTGCTCAGCTGAAAGGGAGACACCTTTTTTTAGTTTTTAAGTTAAAGTTTAAAATATGATATTGTTTTTCATATTTCAAACTATTTTTAACACATTAGAATTCTTAGGTTAGACTGTCCAACAAACTATGTGTTAAAAAGGTTAAGATTCTTGAGTTTTAAAATAATAATTCAATTCTAAAATGTAAAGTTACTGTATATTTCACAATGGTTTATAAACTGCAAAAAGACAACAGTACTTAGTAAACTAAGTTTAAAAACAGGGAGATCAGCTTTAATATTTGGGACACTCCCATCATTTAGACACCTGTGATGTCATCAGTTGGAGTTGAGTTCAGGTGTGGGACCATGTGGGACCATGTGGGACCATAGGAGCACACAGATGTTACCTGCTGCAGAAAGAGAGTTTAATGTTCGTGTATTGCTTTGTTTAATAAATGGATTTAATGTCTTCCCAGGTCTTCAATGTCAGAGACTTTCACTTCTTCTCACTGTGGCTGTTTAAATGAGCCACTAAAGTTGTTATTTTTGTTATTGTTAGCTGCAAATATTAAATATCCATTCATCTGATGGTAGCAAGCTAACTAGCGCTTGCAACTCTATTCAATTTCTTACTTTGTCTTATAAACTTTAAAACCAGCCATATGTTAATTAAAATACATTTACCTTTGCTAATGCAGTCAATTATTGTGAAATCCATAGAGTATAATTTCATGATTGTTGCAATAACTAATGTTCTGTGTGTATTCCTAATGTGTCATGTGTGTTTCAGTCTTACAGGTGTCAGACTGTGTTGAAGGTGTTCAAAGGTAAGAATCACACTCTCACACATTGTTCTTCTGTATTATTATGTTGTTTTTAGAATAAACCATTATTTGGTGTATTTTCTTTGAAAACATCTATCTTTTTCTCAGATTGTTCAGCAACTCACTCAAGATGAGGGAAAAGAGCAACAAGGGGAAAATGCCCCCTCGGAAATGCAACATGTGTAGAGTAATACAGGGTAAGTAGCTTTCAGGGCTCATTTGTCCATGTGCAAAACAAATGCACATTTGCAATTGTTTTTTACATGGAATTACTCCAATGACCAAAGCCTTATCCCAAGTTTCTCAGACGGAGTGTCTTCCAGTGTCTCGAGCTAGTGCAGTGCCAAGGTTTGTATCACATGGTGATGGATCGAGTGGTTTGAGGCATTAATAGAAAGTTATGTGTTGTTATATCACTTTGCCACATTATGTTGAAACTAAACATGTTCCACATTTTCAGGTGCTGTGCTTGGACCTTGTGATGAGAGACTGAAGACCAAGAGAGGACACATGTTGGAACATCAACATTCAATAAATACATTCTTCTGCCTTTCAGATTGTGTTTTTACATCTGGGGAACCTACAGTAGAGTGTAGCTTGTGCCTGTTTTAATACTGATCCAAACATAGGCGCTACAATCATGTTTTTTTACTTTGGCATGAACTGTTCAGTACAGTAGTGTTCATAACACTGTGCCCTGTGTGGTTTAACTTGTACTTTGATGTAGAGAAACATGATTTTTAATGCAGCTCCATTTGCAATAATGACTGATATCCTTCTACTACAGTTGTTCTAATGCTTTTTGAATGCTGTGTTTATCGTTTATTGCCCAGAGTCAGAACTAAACATGATAAAGCTGCATTTCAGATTCACAAGGCTAAAATCTGGAACGGTCTTCCTGGAAATGTGAGACAGGCTTCTTCTTTGACAATGTTAAAATCCAGGTTTAAAACACTTCTGTTTCTGCTTCAACTGAGAGATTTTATGAGAGATTTTATTTGTATCTTTTTAATTTACTGTCAATATTTATAATTGTAATGCCTTGTTTGATTGTTTCTATCTTTTGTTCAGTGCTTTGAGTTTCCTTTTGTTTTGACTGTGCTATACAAATAAACTTGCCTTGCCTATTGCAAAAAGTATGTCTCGACCAGTGAGTGATTCTGCAGAGGTTAAGTAGGTCAATAGGACTGTAAATGGACGTCATATAAACGTCAATATTTTGGTCATATAAGACGTCGAGAGGACGTCGGACCCGACCGGTTCTGTACCACATTGCAACCTTGAATGAACGTCCAGATAACGTCCAGATGACGTTGAACTGACATAGTTTTGACATCTGCTTGCTTAGTGGGAACAACAGAAAACGAACGTCATATGAAGGCAATATTTTGGTCATATAAGACGTTGATAGGACGTCAGACCCGACCGGTTCCGTACCACATTCAAACCTTGAATGAACGTCCAGATGACGTTGAAATGACATAGTTTTGACATCTGCTTGCTTAGTGGGAACAACTGAAAACGAACGTCATATAAACGTCAATATTTTGGTCATATAAGACGTCGAGAGGACGTCAGACCCGACCGGTTCTGTACCACATTCAAACCTTGAATTGACGTGCCATCAACGTAACATTTGGAGGTTGAGGTGACGTCGGGAAACGACGTCGAGAAAACTTTCATTCTGCACCCACCAGTGACCTATATTCTACGTCGGACAACGACGTTCAAATTACGTTGATTCAACGTCGGCTTGCTTAGTGGGAAGATTGTTCCAGATTTTCTGCATACATTTGAAACGCTGCCTCCCCGTGTTTAGTCCTGCCTCTGGGACCAGCAGGAGGCCAGTCCCTGTGCTGTCCCTGTTATAATTCAATGTGTGAAATGGTTTGTTTTGTAGGTTTCCAACATTAAGTCTCAGATGGTGACCTTCAGACTGTTGCAGCAGTTTAACGTGGGTCTTTTCCAGCCCTCGTTCGTCACGGTCTATGAGTATTACAAAGAAGGAGGTCAGAGAATACACAATCTGCAACCAGCGTTCCAACAATTTATTCACGTTAACATTTACACAACACCATGAAGAATAATCGGAATCAGAATAAGGAAAATCCGTTGAGTTACACATTTTAAAACCAAAACAGAAAAGTACCTTCCATTAAAGGTACCGTGTCTCCAGATACAAGAGATTTGAGATCTCACATCTTGACCTATTGGCTTACTCATAAGATAGATAGATAGATAGATATATAGACAACTGTAGTCTGGATCAGTGTAAAACCATGCTGTGTGTGTTTGTGTGTGTGTTTTTGTGTGTTTCCAGGTCAGCGCTGCACCAGACGGTACGCTCCTCCAGAACAAGTGAAGCTCACAACCATCTGCAACGAAGGCGAATGCGTCTGTACACAGGGTCAGTCCCACAGAATATACAGTGCTGTAGACTTGGGTTTTAGGCAGGCTGGGGTGTCTACATGTACACCTGTGTCTCTCTGTGTCTGTATGTACCTGTGTCTCTATATGTACCTATGTCTTTCGCAAAGGTAAAGGTAAAGGTGCACTTTATTGATCCCTGTAGGGCAATTAATCCTCTGCATTTGACCCATCCTGATGCCGTTAAGGCTCACGTCAGGAGAAGTGGTCGTCGTGGTGACAGCGCCCGGGAACCCATTCTCCGTCAGTCCATGTCAGTCTTGTTCCCTTTTGGATATTCGCGTTTGTTTGTCCTTGGATTTGATCATCATCATCATCATCAATTCTTGCCTCCTCCTTCTTTCCACCACGGACCTCTCAGATCTCCAGCTTAAGACTTATGGAAATTGGCTCCAGCTATCTTTTGTTCTAATCTGCAAAAAATGAAAAGTCTTATATGAGAGGAGTTAGAGGAAGCCAGAGTGTCCATGAGCACTTCCCTATTGGGCTTCATTGAACTGGCGGTTAGTATTGTCCATCTATAAACAGTTTATGGTTGTATTATAAAACCAGGATGTAGTTACCCACCTCTACCACCAGGTGACAGTGATGATCATACACATGTTGATCCAAATATGTGTTTTTGTGCACTGATATGTGATGAAAAGATAAGATAAACTTTATTGATCTCTGATGGAGAAATGTACATGTCACATTTGGTACCGATAGAGTCACTCCGATTTCTGCAAAAGTATGTAAACATGTTGAAGTTTCAAATAAAGTTTTTTTTTTTTTTATTGAACCTTTTGTATCCAAGAAAATCCCATTGAGATTAAGAACCTCTTTTTCAAGGGAGTCCTGGACAAAAGTTGCATACAGTTATATACAAATACAGATTATAAAACAGTTTCACACAATGTCATAAAATTACAGATTATAAAAACAGTTCTATGTCAATGAGGACGACTCAATCTGGATTTCAAAGCATTCAATGAAATAAATTCAGATCATTTCCAGTCTTTACCAACACGTTCCATGTAGAAGGAGTATGGAGCTATTATTGTTTCAATAATATTTGTGTGTGTGTAACCAGATTTGTGTGTGCGTAACCAGATTTGTGTGTACGTCAAAAGCTTTGTGCGTGCGTAACCAGATTTGTGTGTGTGTAAAAGAAATATTTGTGCGTGTGTAAATAGATTTGTATGTACGTATCAAGATTTGTGTGTGCGTAAAAAGATTTGTGTGTGCGCAGAAAGATTTGTGTGTGTGTAAAGGGAAAAAAAAGTACGTTTTACGCACAATTTTTTTTATTACACACAAATCTTTTGACGCAGTCCTGCCTTCGCAGATTCGCAAGTGTAACTTGGACTGTGTGTGTGCGTGAACAGATTTGTGTGTGTGTAATTTGACATTTGTGTCTGTAACAGAACAATCTGTGTGTAAATAACCACGTTGTACGAAGAGAAGAACGGAAAAAAGCCTAAGTGCTACGCACAGGCTCTGTTTTACACACAAATCTCTTTTTGACACACCTCTGCCGCTTAGCGTGTGTCAAAAAGATTCGTAAGTGTAATGTGGTTGTTCTAGCAGTACACCAGCAGATGGTGCTGTTGTAGCTGGTTATTACCTACAGGCAAGCAAACCAGCAGAGTTTGTAGCACTGTAGATAGAGAAAACCGAAGTTCAGGATGACAATTAACACAAAAATTCCCACAAAATCCGACTTTTATGAAAGCTGTAGGTTCTCTGTCAGCTGTTTTAGTTTACTTTGAGTTCTATGGGGAAAATGTCTGTGTAGCCTACGTGAATTTAGTCTGCAGTACGCTAGAATCCCTCAGCTCCAAGCTAGTAACACCCTATCCAGTTATTATAATAGATCCATGTATAATACAGTGGTGTGAATGACAGGATTTTGAATATAGGAAAAACATATCAAACAGCTGCGGTAGTGTGTCTTGTCAAGGCAGTAGGTTTTGGTTTGCTTGCCTGTAGGTAATAACCAGCTACAACAGCACCATCTGCTGGTGTACTGCTAGAACAACCACATTACACTTACAAATCTTTTTGACACACGCTAAGCGGCAGAGGTGTGTCAAAAAGAGATTTGTGTGTAAAACAGAGCCTGTGCGTAGCACTTAGGCTTTTTTCCGTTCGTCTCTTCGTACAACGTGGTTATTTACACACAGATTGTTCTGCTACAGATACAAATGTCAAATTACACACACACAAACCTGGGTACAGACGCACACAGTCCAAGTTACACTTGCGAATCTGCGAAGGCAGGACTGCGTCAAAAGATTTGTGTGTAAAAAAAAACTTGTGTGTAAAACTTACTTTTTTTTTCTTTAAACACACACAAATCTTTCTACGCACACACAAATCTTTTTACGCACACACAAATCTTGATACGTACATACAAATCTATTTACACACGCACAAATATTTCTTTTACACACACACAAATCTGGTTACGCACGCACAAATCTTTTTACGTACACACAAATCTGGTTACGCACGCACACATCTTTTTACGCACACACAAATCTGTTTACGCACACACAAATATTATTGAAACAATAATAGCTCCATAAAGGAGCATCAAATACAAAAGCTTTCATACGCTGAAAATATGTACAATTTCACGTAATATTTCTTGCTATTATCTCAATTTGAACCTTTAAGACATGCAGCATTAGACATTCTTTCAGGTTTGCTTGTTTTGTTTTGTTTCAGGGGATTGCTTTTATATCAGGACAGACTCACACGTCACTGGAGACAAACCGAGAGAGACTTTTGCCTGCTCCACCCTACACCACGGTAACATGCAGCATCAAAGACACCGTTTCAAAACATGTGGAGAAACCCTGACATTCTGCCTCAGTTTTTAAGGTGAAAGTGAGAAACATCACCAGAGATTTGCAGTTCAGATACGAGATGGAGATCACAAACGTCTTCAAGTTGGGTGAGTCCGGAAGTGGTTCTCTGAGGTAGGGCTCAGGCCATAAATCCAGTCTTACTTTTATGACGATTTAGTGTAATCTCAAATTGGAGCTTTCCTGTGGGCTTCCGTAGTTTCCTTTTGGTCTGTCCTTCCCGCTGCTGTCAGACTGTACAACAAGAACTGCTGGTTCTAACTCTCATTGGCTTCAAATACAGACGTTTACTCTACAAACCCCGGAGCAATTCAGTTCCGTTCTCTTTATTAACAAAACTTCATAGTGATACAAGTCGTAAACATTGTAATTTCTAAAGTTTGTAGGTGTTTGGTACAAGAGGAAACCAGGAAGCTGCGTTAGTTTACAGGCGGGGCCCCAGCTCTGCAGTGCGAGTCAGAGGTTGCAGGCTTTAGAATGAGTCTGAGAGTCAAAATACATAGTTATTGAACGACAGTACATTTAAGGTCTTTGTCTTTTGTCTCAGGTACCGAAGCAGGAGTTATGGACTGCGAAATCAGGTATTTCCTCACTGATCCGGCCTGCGGGGACAAGGTGGTGCTTCAGAAGGACTCTGAATACCTCATCATGGGCCCCGAGAGAGACAAATGGAACGCAGACCCGGCCACCAAAAAGTAACAGCTTAAAGAGACTCAATCATTCTTGGGCTTTTAACATGAATCCACTGTTTGCAACTAATGATTCTTTATTAACGGCTCCGTATATAGCATCTTTATTTGGTCCTGTCAACCGTTGCTAAGGAGCTTTTGCTGGCTCTTGGCTCATAAAGTATTCCCTTTCCTGAAACATGTTTTTGAGAGCACAGAGGAAAAAAACATATATATTTTCTAGGGCCATGACATGAGTATCTTTTTCATATGGATTTTAAGTTTACCGTTGAGCAATGACTGAATACAGACGCTGAAGGAACAACTTTTTTTTTCGTCCAAACAAGTCCAACAGACCAGTGCATCTTTTACCATCAAATGTAGCAGTAGCATATTTAGAAATATAATGTGTTTTTCCGGCCCTTATCTAAAGTGATCTACATCCAGAGTAATCCAGCGAGCGGCTGTTAGTTTTTCTTTCAGACGTGGCTCAGTTCCTCTGGTCTTCAAAGCAGTCACCTGGTGGACTGTGGTCTTTATACTGGGGCTAACGTCCATGCTAGCTGCTCTGTGTTTGGCACCAGCCATGGGGACCAAAAGATTAACAGAACTCACCCTTATTTGGGCATTTCTCTGGTCCTCCCGGTTCTGCGCAGTGGACAATCTCCCATGATGCTTTGCCCCAAATACTAACGAGCACAAGTGTGTGAGGGCCGCGTTCTGACCAATCAGAGCTGCTGATCAGAACGGGAAGAAATTGAGCAGATTGTTTCTCTAAAGTGTGGATTTAAAGAAAAATTAAGGATTTAAGAAGAAGAAAGTTCAGGACGACAAGGGACATTAAAATCCCCACAAAATCTGACCTTTGTGAAAGCTGTAGGTTCTCTGTCAGGTTCTCTGTCAGTTGCGGTACCACGGGAAGCCCAAGATAGTGACACTCTAGATATTCTAATAGATCCATGGCATAGACACAAGTGGTGCTTCAGTATACGGTTCAGAGAAAAAAATCCCGGTCTTCATTATTTTCCTACATGTTCAGAGTGTGTGAGCGTTGTGACTGTGTATATGAAGGTTTTACCACAAGCTGTACGGTTTAAACACATTCTGAACATGATGAATTTTGAGTCTATTATAAGTCTTTTATTGCCATTGTAAGCAACAGGGAGTCACAAACCAAGAATTAGTACCGTAAGCACCAAATAAAAAAGTGAGAAACCTTGTGTAGGTCCACATTGAAAGAGGGATCCACTCCCACAGACGGACAGAATTTAGATCAGGGACTCAAAAAGATTATGCATTATCTGTGATTCTTAGCCTGGTCGTACCACACCATAGTACAAATTACATTTCGTACTAAGGTCTGTATTTGCTCCGTGAACAGGTGGGAGGGGTTAACTCCTTTTGCAGATTGAAACGATTGGATCTGAGTTTACTGTGACGTATGTAATGAGCCCGAGTGAGTTGTTAGCATTTAGCCTAGCTTTAGCCATATCCGTTGTTGCTAACGGAGCCCTTGGGGAGTAGCGCCACCATTTTTGCAGCAATTACATTTGCTAAACATTCTTCTTTCTCCGGCTTCAGTTTCTTGATAGAACCAGACCAGATTACTTTACTATCACATTTTTCGCCAAACTACAACCTGCCCGTTCGGCGCAAACTCTTGGCGTCACCCACAACTAACTACAACACCCGCCTCCCGCGCTCTCTGATTGGTCGGATAGGATTTAACCGATTGTAATCGCAGACACAGGGACCAGACCCAGACGTTACATGCAGGAAATGATAATTGAGTGGAGTGTACGGATGGATAAGGCCAGGCTATGTGATTCTGTCTGAACGCTTCTGTTTTGTGGTTTCCAGGATCATGTATGTTTTGACTAAAGACACGTGGGTGGAGCGATGGCCGACGGAGGCAGAATGCGCTCAGCCCGAGTTCAAAGCCACGTGCAGAAGTTTAACCACCGCCACAAATTTTTTCTACAATGAGGTCTGCAGGTTGTAGAGACAGAGCAAGAATAACACAACACACCACACACATTTGAATAAAGACTTGTGGACCACTTTCTCTTGTCTTGGTTCATTTTTTACTCGAGAAAGGCCAGAATGTTGTCAACATCCAAAATCCTCATTACGATTTGATGTGTGTGTGTGTGTGTGTGCGCCTGTGTGTGTGTGTTTTAATAAGTGCTAAAACTGATCATTATAACTACAAATGAAATACAGCAAAGAAACAGGCTAATACTAATGCTAACGTCTGACAGTAAACAGTGCGTTACTACGGTAACTAGCACTTGATATTCTCTGGTGGTGAATGAGTTAAAGGTAGTACTCCTCACATTTCAACAGTGAAAGATCATTTCAGAATAAATAATGATTTAGGAATAAACTACACATAGATGCGACACAGATACTTCCAAAACTAAAATCCTAATGCTGTGTTTTTGTTGAAAAAGTTTATCTAAAGATGTGACCGAGGCAAAATATATACATCAATCATTTATTTGAATTTCCTTGTAGACAAATTGCGCTTTCCAAAGTGCTTCACAAGAGCATTTTCAAAACACAAATCAAAATGGATAATATACAATCATTTCATATTTAAACAGTGATGAATAGTGATAGAACCAGAGAAAAAGACTTTTGGAGCCTGGAATTATTTGAATGGACTTAAATGCGACGTGATTTGGACAACACAAAAACAAACAAAATATTTCTTGTACAACTTGTGCCATATGAGTTCTGCTATTTTTTTTAGAATTTCTTCCAACATGTTTATTTGTATAGCACAGTACCTACACAAGAGAACTCAAAGTGCTTAACTCAAAAAGATCAGGATTTTTGTTAACACTGATGTCTATGGAGAAACTTCCTGGGCTGCCTTGGTGAGTTTAGTCTGGAGCAGTGTATGTGGTCCATCATCAGACTGTAGACAGGCTTAGCTAGTAATACCCCATCCAGAAAATACAATATGGCAGACCTGGGAAAAGAGCGGCCCCGGGCTCACATCGGGCCCTATTTACATTTCCATGTGGCCCGGACCCTAGATTCAAATTTATTGTCATTACGAAGTCAAAACAATGCAATGAAATGCAGCATCCATCCAGAAGAGCAAAAACACTATTCATTATTTTCTCTGAACAAATTGTGCACAAACACAAATAAAACACTGGATGTCTTATTATTTGTTAAATAAATATATATTTATGATTAACCACATAAAATTGGGTCCGGCCTTCCACAATAGGGCGTTATCCCGATGTGACCCCTCGAAGACGATAATAACCCACTCCTGGTTTATGGTTTGATGCCACTCCTCCCTCTGGTGGTCATATAGGGGTAGGGCAGTCCAATTGCATTACCCTTCACACGTAACCCCAACCCTAACCCATATATTTGCTAAGTAAGATATTGTTTCGCGCTTTAAAACGTGAAATGAGACAGATCGTAAGGGACTTTTTTCAGCCACATGGTCTGAATACATTTTGTGCCCCTCTGGACGTGGTACTCCTCAAGAAGTGAAGAGAGATGGAAAAAGAGTTTAGGGTGTATTTAAAGGTAAATAGGAGGATTGTCTTTTTCTAGGTGGACAATCAAGACTATTGGTCCTCCTAGTTCTGGTGATATGCTCGTCAAACTAGTGTACAGATTTTTCATTTATGTATATTTCCCTGTTCAGAATGATTCCTCAGCCTCAGAGTCTTAGCACATAAACATTAATTAATCAAAAACGTGTACACCTTTCCCACTCTTAACATTACAAAACATAAACTTACCATTTTAAGGTTTCAAAGAGACAAAAGTTAATCAGACCACTCTATGCTGTTTTCATCTTATTGGAAAACTGTATATTTTGCAAACTTGTACTAAAGAGCAAAGTGAGTCACTATTTCACGCTTTGAGCACAGATGTTTGTCACTTTTACATTTGAAAATACATGCATGTGAAAACTTGTGATATTTTTGTGGTTTGAAAAGGAGGTACTCCAGCTTTAAAATAAGTTAATATGTTGTAAGAGCACTGTGAATAATTATGACGCCTAGATTGATCTGTTCTCATTTCAATAAAGCACTCGGGCGCAGCATCATACAGGACGTTAGGATTCAGGCTGCATCTGAAGAAAGAAAAATGCTCCGCTTTCTTTCTCGTTTTTAAAATCGACATTTGTTGCAATACATTTTATTTAAGTGGTATTAACAGTTTTACAAAGCTCTCCTTTTACTAGACCATACCTCGAGCTACATAGTTCGTATTTTGAGTGACAATGATTCTTAAGTAAGCAGGTGGTAACTCTGTTTTCGGACGCAGCCATGCCCTCACTGCCCCAAACAAAGATGGCGGCAGGTTGTTCGAAGGTCAGTTGCACTCTTCATTCTTATTGGATAGTTTCATTACAAGCCCCGCCTTATTTACCACAACGTGTCTTATTGTAGCTCTGATTAAGAGTTGCTCATGTCACTCAAACCTACGAAGACCAATCGTACGCGTTTGTCCTTTTCAGTTGCGTCACATACCGGAAGTGCGCGTTCTAGAGGGGTTGCCATGTTTGCAAATCTTGACAGTTGATCTTGTTTCCGAGCACTTTTTGACGTTTTAGGAGTGGATATTTTTGTTATGGTTTTAATAGATTATAAGTTAGCGTGAAAAGAGACTGCAATATACTTTGCTACGATCCGTCAATGTTTGAAAACTATTATTTAAGATGAAGAGATCCTTTATTTGTCCCACAGTGGGGAAATGTTAGTGTTGCATCACCGGTTACAAAACAGTAGGAATGATAGATAGGAAGATAAATGAACAATAAACTCTATACTAAAATAAAATCTATAACTTAAGCATAATAAAGAATATAAAGTTGTAGAGAAGACCGGAGAGAGAAGACCTATTTGTATTAGTTTGACAATAAAATATTGTTTTTGTCATCCTAGTATTTTTTCAGTCAATTTAGCAAAACAAATCGTGATTGATATTTTGTATCATTCTAGATTTATTTTTGTTTCTAAATATTTGTTTATTCTAAATTGAGCAGCAGTAGTAGGGTATATATGTTATATATTGTGTCTCTTTGTGGTTAGGGGTTTTGCATTTAAGATAAAGATTAGGAGATCCTTTATTTGTCCCACAGTGGGGAAATGTCAGTGTTGCTTCATCAGTTACAGAACAGTAGGAATGAGGAGCACACAGCACGAGATAAATTAACAATAACTCAATCCTAAAATGCATCAAAATAAAATATCTAGTATAATAATATCTCTTACCCTCTATCTATTACCCTCTCACGATCTGGCAACCCAGGTCCCACAGCCAAGATGTCGGCTTCGTGCGTCTCCTCCATGTGTGCCCGGACTATCCGAGCGAGCAGTGGATTCCTGCGGTTTCGGAGCAGCGCCGCGGGGGACACGGTGCGGGGACTGTCCACGGAGCGGCCGGTGACCGGCGGAGACACGGGGGCCACGGGGGCGATGGGAGGACTGGCCCAGTCGATCCTCCAGGAGAGACTCCAGCAGCAGAGCCAGGTGAGGGCGGACTCAGGCTCATGGACCGATGGCTTAGGAACCAGGGGCTGAGGGACCAGGGGCTGAGGGACCAGGGGCTGAGGGACCAGGGGCTGAGGGACCAGGGGCTTAGGAACCAGGGGCTGAGGGACCAGGGGCTGAGGGACCAGGGGCTGAGGGACCAGGGGCTGAGGGACCAGGGGCTTAGGAACCAGGGGCTGAGGGACCAGGGGCTGAGGGACCAGGGGCTGAGGGACCAGGGGCTGAGGGACCAGGGGCTGAGGGACCAGGGGCTGAGGGACCAGGGGCTGAGGGACCAGGGGCTGAGGGACCAGGGGCTGAGGGACCAGGGGCTGAGGGACCAGGGGCTGAGGGACCAGGGGCTGAGGGACCAGGGGCTGAGGGACCAGGGGCTGAGGGACCAGGGGCTGGATCTGTCACCGGGAAATCAGTGTGAATGATACGGAGTAGAGAGCGGGTCCGGAGCTGACTTTGGGCTCCACACGGTCTCATAATAGCCCCGGTGTTTTGACCTCTGTAGCTAGCTCCATACATGCTGTCATTTCTTGTTATTAATATAGACCACAGTTAAAAAGAAATATACAAAAATAAAAATTCCTCAGTTGTTTGCAGCTAAACATTGTCAGAGAAGAAGCCATTTCAGGAAAATTGTTGCAGATTTTAGCTGCATGAATCTGAAGTGCTGCATCCTTATGGTTAGTTCTGACTCTGGGACCAGCAGGAGGCCAGTCCCTGTGCTCCTCGGGGTCCCAGCAGGAGGCCAGTCCCTGTGCTCCTCGGGGTCCCAGCAGGAGGCCAGTCCCTGTGCTCCTCGGGATCCCAGCAGGAGGCCAGTCCCTGTGCTCCTCGGGATCCCAGCAGGAGGCCAGTCCCTGTGCTCCTCGGGGTCCCAGCAGGAGGCCAGTCCCTGTGCTCCTCGGGGTCCCAGCAGGAGGCCAGTCCCTGTGCTCCTCGGGGTCCCAGCAGGAGGCCAGTCCCTGTGCTCCTCGGGGTCCCAGCAGGAGGCCAGTCCCTGTGCTCCTCGGGGTCCCAGCAGGAGGCCAGTCCCTGTGCTCCTCGGGGTCCCAGCAGGAGGCCAGTCCCTGTGCTCCTCGGGGTCCCAGCAGGAGGCCAGTCCCTGTGCTCCTCGGGGTCCCAGCAGGAGGCCAGTCCCTGTGCTCCTCGGGGTCCCAGCAGGAGGCCAGTCCCTGTGCTCCTCGGGGTCCCAGCAGGAGGCCAGTCCCTGTGCTCCTCGGGGTCCCAGCAGGAGGCCAGTCCCTGTGCTCCTCGGGGGTCCCAGCAGGAGGCCAGTCCCTGTGCTCCTCGGGGTCCCAGCAGGAGGCCAGTCCCTGTGCTCCTCGGGGTCCCAGCAGGAGGCCAGTCCCTGTGCTCCTCGGGGTCCCAGCAGGAGGCCAGTCCCTGTGCTCCTCGGGGTCCCAGCAGGAGGCCAGTCCCTGTGCTCCTCGGGGTCCCAGCAGGAGGCCAGTCCCTGTGCTCCTCGGGGTCCCAGCAGGAGGCCAGTCCCTGTGCTCCTCGGGGTCCCAGCAGGAGGCCAGTCCCTGTGCTCCTCGGGGTCCCAGCAGGAGGCCAGTCCCTGTGCTCCTCGGGGTCCCAGCAGGAGGCCAGTCCCTGTGCTCCTCGGGGTCCCAGCAGGAGGCCAGTCCCTGTGCTCCTCGGGGTCCCAGCAGGAGGCCAGTCCCTGTGCTCCTCGGGGTCCCAGCAGGAGGCCAGTCCCTGTGCTCCTCGGGGTCCCAGCAGGAGGCCAGTCCCTGTGCTCCTCGGGGTCCCAGCAGGAGGCCAGTCCCTGTGCTCCTCGGGGTCCCAGCAGGAGGCCAGTCCCTGTGCTCCTCGGGGTCCCAGCAGGAGGCCAGTCCCTGTGCTCCTCGGGGTCCCAGCAGGAGGCCAGTCCCTGTGCTCCTCGGGGTCCCAGCAGGAGGCCAGTCCCTGTGCTCCTCGGGGTCCCAGCAGGAGGCCAGTCCCTGTGCTCCTCGGGGTCCCAGCAGGAGGCCAGTCCCTGTGCTCCTCGGGGTCCCAGCAGGAGGCCAGTCCCTGTGCTCCTCGGGGTCCCAGCAGGAGGCCAGTCCCTGTGCTCCTCGGGGTCCCAGCAGGAGGCCAGTCCCTGTGCTCCTCGGGGTCCCAGCCGGGTCCAGCAGAGGCCAGTCCCTGTGCTCCTCGGGGTCCCAGCAGGAGGCCAGTCCCTGTGCTCCTCGGGGTCCCAGCAGGAGGCCAGTCCCTGTGCTCCTCAGGGTCCCAGCAGGAGGCCAGTCCCTGTGCTCCTCAGGGTCCCAGCAGGAGGCCAGTCCCTGTGCTCCTCAGGGTCCCAGCAGGAGGCCAGTCCCTGTGCTCCTCAGGGCCCCAGCAGGAGGCCAGTCCCTGTGCTCCTCAGGGTCCCAGCAGGAGGCCAGTCCCTGTGCTCCTCAGGGTCCCAGCAGGAGGCCAGTCCCTGTGCTCCTCAGGGTCCCAGCAGGAGGCCAGTCCCTGTGCTCCTCAGGGTCCCAGCAGGAGGCCAGTCCCTGTGCTCCTCAGGGTCCCAGCAGGAGGCCAGTCCCTGTGCTCCGGCAACACTGACATTCACCACCTCACTGTGGGAAGAAAGGATGTCTTAATCATAATCTTAAAAATAAATTGGACTATATTTTTATTATTTTATTACATTAAGCATCTGGGACAAGGCGTAAGTGGATATTATAATATTTTGTGCACACAATTAAATAAATGCAGTGAAATATTAAAATTAAATAATTAATGTAATTAAATAATTAAAATAATTATTTGTTTTTCTTCCGTGTTTTCTGAGTTTTCTCTGGTCATTTCCATCTCAGGTTTTTGTGACTCTATGATGTCTGCTTGGTGTGACTATGACGTCTGCCGTAGACCCGGGACTGAGGCCGTAGACCCGGGACTGAGGCCGTAGACCCGGGACTGAGGCCGTAGACCCGGGACTGAGGCCGTAGACCCGGGACTGGGGCCGTAGACCCGGGACTGGGGCCGTAGACCCGGGACTGGGGCCGTAGACCCGGGACTGGGGCCGTAGACCCGGGACTGAGGCCGTAGACCCGGGACTGAGGCCGTAGACCCGGGACTGAGGCCGTAGACCCGGGACTGAGGCCGTAGACCCGGGACTGAGGCCGTAGACCCGGGACTGAGGCCGTAGACCCGGGACTGAGGCCGTAGACCCGGGACTGAGGCCGTAGACCCGGGACTGAGGCCGTAGACCCGGGACTGAGGCCGTAGACCCGGGACTGAGGCCGTAGACCCTGGGCGTAGACGGACTGAGGCCGTAGACCCGGGACTGAGGCCGTAGACCCGGGACTGAGGCCGTAGACCCGGGACTGAGGCCGTAGACCCGGGACTGAGGCCGTAGACCCGGGACTGAGGCCTCAGTTTTATTTGGAGCTGACAGAATGTGTCCTTGTGGATGTGTGTCGCTGTGACCTTGATTTGAAGGTTTTTGGAGGTCTGTGTTGCCACTTCATTCTAGAGCTGAACAATTCTCTCTTTCTGGTTTATTTTTCTGGTCTCTCTCTCTGGTCTCTCACTGGTCTCTCTCTGGTCTCCCTCTCTGGTCTCTTTCTGATCTCTCTCTGGTCTCTCTCTGGTCTTTCTCTCTCTGGTCTCTCTCTGGTCTCTCTTTCTGATCTCTCTCTCTGGTCTCTCTCTCTCTGGTCTCTCTCTCTCTGGTCTTCCTGTAGCCTTAATCCAGCTGTATGCACGGCTTTTGACAGCTGTAGTAGTACTAACATCAGTAGCAGTTATAATTATTATTATTACAAAGCTTCTGTTTTTGTGATTTAAAACTGTCATATAGATTTTGTCTCTTTTTGTCTCTTTGCTTTGGTCGATCATCATTAAGTGTCAATTATTCTAAATGCCTTTACTTTAATATATCCTCTGTGTGTTGCTGCGATCCGGGCCAGCCGCCACCAGGGGGAGACGGTGAGCAGGAGCAGAAGGAGGAGAAGAAGCAGAAGGAGAACACGGCTTATGCCAAGAAGATGGTGCTGCGTCTGGCCGGACTCATGGGCCTCGGAGGCGCCGCCGGAATGGTCTACGTCTTTGGTCAGTGAATAAATTCATAAATATCATAAATATATTTAAATTATGTCCATGGTGTTGGAGGCTACAAGTTTGGACATTATTACTGCAACTGAAATGCTGCAAAGAAACATGCTAATGTCTGACAGTAAACAGTGCGTTGCTACGGTAACTAGCACTTGATATTCTCTGGTGGTAAATGAGTTAAAGGTAGAACTCCTCACATTTCAACAGTGAAATCATTTCAGAATAAATAATGATTTAGGAATAAACTACACATAGATGCGACACAGATACTTCCAAAACTAAAATCCTAATGCTGTGTTTTTGTTGAAAAAGTTTATCTAAAGCAAAATATATACATCAATCATTTATTTGGATAGCACACATTATGTGTGAAGGTCAAAAAAAGAAGTGAGGATTCTTTTTTTTCTGGTCGTTCTTTGCTGCTGTTAAAAATATAAAACATATGTTGAATAATAGGTTTTTAGTGATTTTACATTTTATAACATTTTTTTTTATATTTAACATTTATTGAGGTAGTGGTTTTAAATATTTTGAAATTTTCCTTTGTACGTTTTGTAAATAAAAATGAATTTACAATGAAGATGAATAATACCTTTTATTATAATTATTTGATCATTTTTATATTTATGAATTACTCATTTTGTTTAGATGTTTTGAACTGTTTTCATTTATATATATATATATATATATATTTTTTTTTTTTTTTTTGACCTTCTCTGGCCATCACAAGAAAAAGAGAAATGGGGATGTGGGGAACAAAAAGAAGACGAAATTAGTGTGAGGCGACAGTTGGTAGAGCATTGGCCTTTGAACCTGAAGGTTGTGGGTTCGAGCCCACTACAAGACCTACTTCAAGACTCCCACTGGTGTCAGCTGTCGTTGTGTCCTTGGGCAAGACACTTCACCCCACTTTTCCTGAAGCCCCCGCTGAAAGATCTCAGCTCCTGTGGACTCACCTCCTGCAGGAGGATCAGTGAGAGGCTGGTGCTCTGTGTACTGGGTCTGACTGCCAACCCGACCCAGAAATGGATTAAGGGGAAGAAAATGGATGGATGGTTAGAAATTAGTGTGATTCTTGCAAACCAGTGTTAAAATGTAAAGACAAAAATATGAATAATACAAAATACTAATTACAAGTATAAAAGTAACGGAGTACTTTACAAATACAAAGAAATGTAGATATTGTAAACTTGCTGCTCGTGTTCAAATCAATAGATGAAGATGAAGAGATCCTTTATGCGTCTCACAGTGGGGAAATGTCAGTTTTGCATCACAAGTTACAAGTTACAAAACCCCTTGATTTTAGTGTAACAAGGAGCAAGTGTAAAATGCTGTATATTCTGGTGTAAGTCATTTATAGTTCTAATAAAACTTGTATTTTATAAAATTGTCTTTTGTCTTTTAGGCTCCAACTCTGTGGACGAACAGGGAAACCAGGTACGTCAGCTTTAATTTGAAAATATAGAAAGTTACGATAAGTGACCAGGAGATAAACCCGGTTATTGACCAAAGTAGGTCTGAGTTCAAGATAAACTAGTTTGAGAGCACAGGGACTGGCCTCCTGCTAAAATCTGGAACAGTCTTCCCGAAAATGTGAGACAGGCTTCTTCTCTTCTTCTATGTTTAAATCCAGGATATGTTTACCTACAAACAACTGAGGGATTTTAGCTTTGCTCTTTTTACCGTACTGTGGATATTTATGATTCTTTAGTGCCTTGTTTTGTTCATCACTTTGAGTTGCCTTGTGTATAAACTGCGCTATACAAATAAACCTGCCTTGCCTCAATGAGTTCAGCTTTAGACATAGCTGCTTCAAATGCGTCTTTATCGATGGATTGTCAAACCTGGAGTATGTGGAGGATTGGTTTGTAACGCGACCCCAGGAGGCAGAGCAGTCCCTCAGATGTTGGGGCTGATTCTGGGAGAGCAGTTGGTTCTTTTCTACGACATGTGAAGACGGTCATTACTGCTGCCTTCACACCTCCACAAGACGCCGCAGTCTGAGACCCGCGGGATCCCGGGTTCCCACAGACCAGGACTTGGTCAAAGCCAAAGTGATGCCACGACATCAGCATCACAATGAGCTGCATGAGTGGGGCGCAATTAAACATGCTAAAAATGCACTGGGGAAAGTCTGCATCGCCCGCTAATCAGTCATTTGTCTCTAGCGTTAGCATATTAGCATACATAGTTGGCTTTGGTTTAGAAGCAAAGCAAGGCAGGTTCCTACACAAGGCAACTCAAATATGGTATAGGAGCTAGTATAAAATCTCTAGCTTTAGAATGATGATGTGGCTAGTATAAAAGCTCTAGCTTTAGCATAATAAAGAAGCTAGTATAAAATCTCTAGCTTTAGCGAGATCATTCATTACTATCATAGAGCTGACGTCACCATAGCATTAGCCTTGATGCGGAATCTAATTTCCTTATGGGATTTTGTTCAGTAACAGGGGCAGATGTGTTAACATTTCATCCATGATCAAAGGCATCTGGTTGGTCTATCCTTATACGGCTCATATCTGTATTTACAAAGACAATATCAAGCTAAACGGACTGGGGTAGATTCTGTTGTGTGGCTACGTGTAAATATACATGTTTTAGGAGCCAAAATGGACACGGTTGCTGCTGGTCAAATTGTGAATATATAGTTGCAAGGACATTTAATAACCAAGGCCTCGGACTGGTGAGAAAAGTGTGCCGCTTCCTCTCCCGCACGGGCCACAGGTCACACCAACTCGCCAAGTGTGTCGTAAGATGCTAACGAGCGCTAACAGGAACCAGGACACAAAGAGAAGTGTGCCAGAGTGAGAGCTTTCACAGGCGAGGTGGGGGAAGCCGGTAACTGGCCCAATACCATTCACATCTACTGGTCAAAAAGCTGATGAGTTGCATACATTCTCCACTGTGGGAAAAATAAAGATGCTTTTATCTTGAAATTCAATCGTTCAAAGCGTAACCTTTTCCCTGCATACTCTTTGATGGCCACTATTCCAGAAAAAAAGACAAAAAATGCAAAATGGTGGCTCTGTAGGATACAGAACCACCATAAATGATGCTTTTCATATCATTTACGCTGTCCTAACTGCCTCAATATTTCTGAATAAAAGCTCGCTTAAGGAATTAGAATTTTACAAATGTTCTTGAATGGATATTTTTTGATATACCGCCTATGAGTATTGTTATAGGGTTTACAGTATTATGGTATTTTTTTACATGTGCTCTCCATGTTTTGTCGTAATTACGAGATTTTTAATATGGCATACAAAAAAGAGTAGCTCTCTGCCACTTAGTTTGTATACAAGTAGCTCTTTGATTGAAAAATGTTGGAGACCCTTGATATAGATGGACAATGCTAACTCGCTAGCACAATGAAGCCCAATAGGGAACTGTTTTTGGTAGAAGCAACCATAAGTTTCGCTCTCGCTCCATTTGACTTGCATTGCCATACAGATAGAGTTGTTATTATTATTATTTTTATTGGTTAGCAAACCCAGCTAGCTTAGTAACTGCTTGTGTCACACTTGCCATTTTTGTTTTGATATTGTCTTTGTAAATCCGGCCATTTAAGGAGTGACAAATCAGATGCCTCCACCCTGCCTTAGCACCCAAGACCACTAGGGGCGCAAGGACTCTGTTAAAACAGCCTTTTGGCCCAACCTGATCACACATTCGTTCAGAAATTTGATAATGGGGAAACCTCTATATTTGTGTTTCTGTATGACCACTATGACTTTAGCAAGACACTGAGCGATTATAAAAATAATAGTTTAATACAGCTCTAAATGAGATAATGGTGCAGGCCTAAATCCGCCAGATCCGCCCATTCAAATGTACATAAAATAAATAACGATAACAAAAATTAAAATAAATCAAATTGAAACAAACAATACAATAAATAATTACAATGTAAATATTTTTATTTTTATTTAGCATTTATTTAACCAGGAGAACCTCATTGAAATGAATAACATCTTTTTCAACAGTGTCCTGGACTTAAAACGTGTTAAAGACCTTATGCCGGGTTTGATTTATTTAGAAATAGTTTTAATACCATTTTATATTAGAAGAGAACTACTAAAGGTTTCAAAATCAGTTGTTGTTTTTATTGTCTGATCCTCCCAAATCAAAATAACCCCATAGCAACGCCCTTAGAGACGAAAAAACTTCACAGCCCTTGGTGACGTCAGTGGGTACGTTTCAACGCTGTAAGTTGTTTACAATTTGGTATTCGTTCTTTTGTTGTCGAATATTCACTGAGATAGTCCAGTGGTTGTGTCGATGCACTGGCAATCCAGAAACTGGGGTTCAAATCCTACCTCAGACACATTTTCACTCTCAAAACGGCAAATTATGTGTAGTGAGCAATTGTCACCTGTAGAGTGCAGTATTGTGTTGGGCATCAGTGGAGAGAAGAGAGAAAAGGCAGTCCTGTGGCATAGATCCATGGTTTTCAATGCATGGGCGTTACCCGCTATGACGTCACACACAGGTTAGAGCTTAGACAACTTATATACATAGTTCCCACAGACCAATGAATGTCACATGACCTCCTCGGAGACGCCATCTTTGATGGCACGCTGCTGTGTTTGTGCATTCCATTAAACAGAAGAATGAGAATAAATGTAGATATTCAAACGCAAATTGGAAAAAAAAGGGCAACTTTTGAGCAAATAATTGTATATTAATACAATGGCACCACAGTTTAACGTGCTACGGACATGTTTTACATATTTGATCAAATTATGCAGCAAAAATTAACAAGCAATGCAAACATTTCTCAAAAACTTTAGATTTAATACCAGTTGGAGCTCCATTTAATTATTTTAATTATATTAACAATTAATTTAATTAATGCTAATGCCACACGGACACTCTGGATTGCTGTTATTGTTTATTTCCGCGTTTTTGACCGTATGTTTTGGTGAATGGTGGGCAACTGATTTTTCCAGGCGTAAAGAGCAGTTTATTTTATGACACAGATCTTTTTACAGAAGCAATGCTGTTTGTGAACATTGTTTTAGCCCACCATAGAACTATTATTATCTATTTAATACATTTACGTTGCCCTCGAGAGCCTCGGACGCGACACCGATCCTCCTCATAATAAAGTAATCTAAATAATGAAACTCTCAAGTTACCAGATATCAGCATACACAAGTTAGTACTGAGTAAATTACGTCTGTCAACACATTATAAGATACGATACGCACCTGACACAAAGTGCTCCGAGCATATTCTTGCGTGTTTTGAGGGAGTTTCTTGCCTGTTTATCTTCGCAAGCCATAACCTCCGTGGTTGTTCTGACAAAAGCTTAGTCTTCTCACATTCATGAAGTCTAATGATGGGTATACTGTAAAATCCAAGTTTAACGGAACCTCCGGCACGATTTGAACATCCATTGACCCAGCAGGAGATGACCATTTTCAACTTTATCACGACATTAACACGTTTCAGCTTCTTTTTCTATTGTTTTGCCCACAGCATGCCAACACAAATGGCACCGGGTCGGCAAATCCCCGTATGTAGTGACGTCATGTGGGAACTATGTATATATGAAAAACACGTTCTTTTTATAAAATATAGGATTTTTTTTGCCGGAATCTATTTCAGATCGACATTGTCATGCAATTTTGATATCCACATTTTTTTTTTTTTTTTTAAACCCGGCATAAGGTCTTTAAGGATAGATTGTGTTCCCATGGTTACGTATGTCACAAAGACTTTAAAGAGAGTGGAAATGTCCAAACAACTTAGCTCCGATGTTGCTTGTTCACTTATATCCCAATGTTTGATATATATATAATGTATATCCCAATGTATAATGTTTTTAGTATTATATATTATGCTTGGTTTTAATTGTTTTAATACACGGAGAATCACAATATCGGGTCACTACTTTAGGCCTGGGTCCGTTGACGTTAACAGGCTGCAATTCTTCCAGTCTCCAGCAGATGGCGCCACAAACCAGTATTGGCCCAGCAGGAGCAGCTCATGTCTGGATTAAGATTTTATACATAGATTCTTCAATTCTATTCAATGTATTTTTGTATATTGCCCTAAATTGTATCAGCAGTCGTCTTGGAGGACTTAACCAAGTTGTCGATTCGCCCACAACAGATCAGAGAGTTGCATACATAGGAGCCATTGGTTCAGGGAGCAGGATGACCACAGTCTATGTTTATACATTTCCTGGATATTGTTTGAGTACTTTACTTTTTGTATTCCTAGACGTTGTCACTGTTACTTAGAGCAGTGTTTCCCAACCCGGGGAACACGGACCCATCGAGATATGTAAGGGATAACGTATATTACGCAGGTCATTATCGGAAAATAAGTACCGACAGGGCGAAGCGGACCCCGACGCGCGGAGGGGTCTGCTTCGCCCTGAAGGTACTTATTTTCTGATAATGACCTGCGTAATATACGTTATCCCGCTTATTATACGGCTTTATACCAACAGAACACACAACATAAACTTCAGTCCACTTTTAGGAATGCCGAAAGGTTTATTTAATGACAGAAAATAAAATAGTTCCCAAAGGCTTTTTCCGTGGCTATGCTAGCAACAGTAAGGCTGGCAACTTACAAACTAGAACTCTCTGGAACTGCATGAAAACTGAACAAAGAATTTTGAACATCAGCGGTGAGTGACCCATACATAAACCTAACCTAAATCCATAATTTGATCCTCTGCAAATGTGTCCGAAAATGTGCCGGTATCTACTTCGGGTTTTTCGGGATCGCCTTTTCTCGCATTACATCAGTGTTTTTGTCATGAAAACGGAAAATTCTGAAAACTTCCGTGCACTTGTATTAAGACTGGATATGTATAAATTACTCTCCGATTAACATTTCATTGCGTTGATTGATTGGCATTTGCGTTTATTGAGCGGCCGGAACTACTTCCGGGTTTTTCACGATCACTTTTTGACGCAGAGAAATGGTATTTTTGTCATGAAGACAACACCAGAAAATTCTGAAAATTTCCGTGCACGTGTGTGAAGAATGTATATGTATAAGTATTCTCCGATTAAGTGTGTTGATTGAGCGTGGCTCGCTCCGGAGTGGCCGGAACTACTTGCGGCGTTTTCCACGCATTTGAAAGACAAGCAGAGAATACGTTGCCATGGTCAGCGGTCATTGTTTTGAGAGGTCCGTTATAGAAAATATTGACCGGTAGAACGTTTTGAAATTACATTCAAATCAATGGAGCATTCTGCTGCTGTGAGGAGCCGTGTAATAAGTAGTGTGTAATACATGGAGTACTCTAAATTATTTGAAATCTTTTGAAATTTAAAAACTGGAAAACATTGAGAGCAAGAGGTTCTTATGGCAGACTATGGCATGTTGTATATCATTTTAAAGCCAAGTCTCTGTAGAAAACAACCACAGCTGTTATTCTATTCTAAACAATGAACCCACAACCATAATAGTGGCTTAATTCAATATTTATTGCTGAATACGTTGCAATTTTGCTGCAATTAGTTCGCGGACGACACCACCCTCATTGGACTCATCTCCAACAACGATGAGTCCGCATACAGGAGGGAGGTGGACCGGCTGGTGTCCTGGTGCAGTGGTAACAACCTGGAGCTGAACGCCCAGAAGACAGTGGAGATTATTGTGGACTTCAGGAAGAGCACTGTCCCCCCGCCCCCACCCTCCGTGATGGACTCCCCCATCACCTCTGTGGAGTCCTTCCGTTTCCTGGGCACCACCATCACCCAGGACCTCAAGTGGGAGCCGATCATCAGCTCACTCATCCAGAAGGCCCAGCAGAGGATGTACAGTGCCTTTGGCCCCCTTGAACCTTTCAACATTTTGCCACATTTCAGGCTTCAAACATAAAGATATAACATTTTAATTTTTTGTCATGAATCAAGTGGGACACAATCGTGAAGTGGAACGACATTTATTGGATTATTTAAACTTTTTTAACAAATAAAAAACTGAAAAGTGGGGCGTGCAATATTATTTGGCCCCTTTACTTTCAGTGCAGCAAACTCACTCCAGAAGTTCAGTGAGGATCTTTGAATGATCCAATGTTGTCCTAAATGACTGATGATGATAAATAGAATGCACCTGTGTGTAATCAAGTCTCCGTATAAATGCACCTGCTCTTTGATAGTCTCAGGGTTCTGTTTAAAGCGCAGAGAGAACCATGAAGACAAAGGAACACACCAGGCAGGTCCGAGATACTGTTGTGGAGAAGTTTAAAGCCGGATTTGGATACAAAAGATTTCCCAAGCTTTAAACATCTCAAGAAGCACTGTGCAAGCAATTATATTGAAATGGAAGGAGTATCAGACCACTGCAAATCTACCAAGACCCGGCCGTCCCTCAACTTTCATCTCAAACAAGGAGAAGACTGATCAGAGATGCAGCCAAGAGGCCCATGATCACTCTGGATGAACTGCAGATAACTACAGCTGAGGTGGGAGAGTCTGTCCATAGGACAACAATCAGTCGTGCACTGCACAAATCTGGCCTTTATGGAAGAGTGGCAAGAAGAAAGCCATTTCTCAAAGATATCCATAAAAAGTCTTGTTTAAAGTTGGCCACAAGCCACCTGGGAGACACACCAAACATGTGGAAGAAGGTGCTCTGGTCAGATGAAACCAAAATCGAACTTTTTGGCCACAATGCAAAACGATATGTTTGGCGTAAAAGCAACACAGCTCATCACCCTGAACACACCATCCCCACTGTCAAACATGGTGGTGGCAGCATCATGGTTTGGGCCTGCTTTTCTTCAGCAGGGACAGGGAAGATGGCTAAAATTGATGGGAAGATGGATGGAGCCAAATACAGGACCATTCTGGAAGAAAACCTGTTGGAGTCTGCAAAAGACCTGAGACTGGGACGAAGATTTATCTTCCAACAGGACAATGATCCAAAACATAAAGCCAAATCTACAATGGAAGGGTTCACAAATAGACGTATCCAGGTATTAGAATGGCCAAGTCAAAGTCCAGACCTGAATCCAATCGAGAATCTGTGGAAAGAGCTGAAGACTGCTGTTCACAAACCTCTCCATCCAACCTCACTGAGCTAGAGCTGTTTTGCAAGGAAGAATGGGCAAGAATTCCAGTCTCTCGATGTGCAAAACTGATAGACATACCCCTAGCGACTTGCAGCTGTAATTGCAGCAAAAGGTGGCGCTACAAAGTATTAGCGCAAGGGGGCCGAATAATATTGCACGCCCCACTTTTCAGTTTTTTATTTGTTAAAGTTTAAATTATCCAATAAATTTCGTTCCACTTCACGATTGTGTCCCACTTGTTGTTGATTCTTGACAAAAAATGTAATTTTTATATCTTTGTTTGAAGCCTGAAATGTGGCGAAATGTTGAAAGGTTCAAGGGGGCCGAATACTTTTGCAAGGCACTGTACTTCCTGCGGCAGCTCAGGAAAGCCAAGCTGCCTGCACAGATGTTGGTGCAGTTCTACACGGCCATCATCGAGTCCATCCTCACCTCCTCCATCACCGTGTGGTTCGCTGGAGCCACAGTCAGGGACAAACAGAGACTACAGCGCATTGTGCGCTCTGCAGAGGAAGTGATCGGCCGCAGCCGTCCATCGCTACAGGACCTGTACGTCGCCCGAGCTCGAGGCCGGGCTGGTCGTATCACAGCCGACCCCTCTCACCCTGCACATGGACTATTCCAACCACTCCCCTCAGGCAGGAGACTGCGGTCCATCAGGACTAGAACCTCCCGCCACAAGAACAGTTTCTTCCCCTCTGCTGTTGGACTCTTGAACACTTCTTAACCTGTCCCCCCGCCCTTTATAAAGTCACTTTACTGCCCATCATACGTCACTTTACTTCACTGTACTGCTGTCACCTTACAATGTGTGCACCATGTGCACTTGTATATTGTAAATAGTAACTAACTTTATTTTAAATTTAAATTTATTCCTTAGAAGTGTTTTTTATTCTTTATTTTTTATTATCTCTTTCTGACTGTTGCACTGAGCCAAAGCAATATCCAAGTCTGTGACCTCCTATTACTTACGTGGCAATAAAAATTATTCTGATTCTGTATTGTCAGATTGAACTCATCCATCCATTGTCTTCCCCTTAATCCATTTCTGGGTCGGGGTCCACAGAGCACCAGCTTCTCGCTGATCCTCCAGCAAGCAGGTGCTGAGTCCACAAGAGCCTTGATTTTTCAGCGGGGGCTTCAGGCAAATTGGGGTTAAGTGTCTTGCCCAAGGACACAACGACGGCAGACATAAGTGGGAGTCGTGAAGTAGGTCTCGTATAGCTCGAACCCAATTCAATGTATTTTTGTATAGCCCTAAATCACAACAGCAGTCCTTTCGGACGACTTTACAAAGCTATTGATTCGCCAACACAGATTAGAGAATCAAACCGTTGAAACACAGGAAATGCAATGATAATAAACACAGAGCTATCGGTCCATAAGAAGCAGAGACCAATGTCCTTCACTCCTTCTGTACTTTCAACATCCCAACTGATACAGCTTAGAGACTGCAGTGAGACCTTGGTTTGTAAGTAAAGCCTAAAAACAGGACCTGGGCTGGAATAAACTGGGTCCCGGGGATCCGAGATTCTTTTTTTTTTTTCCTCGAGCTCTGCCTGCGCTGACGTGGGGGAACACAAAGGTTGGGGACCACTGCCTTGGAGGACCTGAATGGAATATATTTTAACAGTTATCATTTTTTCATGTTCTGTTCAGTTTTTTGTTGTTGCGCTAATTCTGTTTTCTTTTGTTTTTCAGATCCCAGACGAGTTTGATTCCGGTAAGTTCTCTGCTTTCGACCATTCAAACTCACAGGGAAATGTTGCAATACAATACAGGGGAATAAGCTTCGGGTAGGAGCTAATGCTAACGTCCTACCTTAGACTGCATATTAGAAGTGGGCTAACGAAGCGCTGGGGGAGCTGTAAAATGTGTGTGTTTTTATGTGAAATTTACTGGCTGCAAACACGCACATGTGATTCAGTTTATTTGGAGTTTGCAGTAAAAAAAACACATATTGAATAGTAACCGGTGTGCACAATAGACAACAAAAAAAGATAAAGACAGAACCTCGCCAACACAGATTAGAGAATCAAACACATAGAGCCATTGGTCCATAAGGAGTAGACTAATATCCGTAAATGTTGATTAATGTCCATAAATGTCATTGAATGTGGAGGGTCCTGGATCATCACCACTGTCCTAAGACCCTCCTGCATCGGCAAAGGAAACACTCATTCAAACAGATTTATTTGTTTATATGACAGGGACAGTGTACATTAACGAACATTACTGTAAATGTACCAGAATCAGCCACAAGGCTATTTTTCATCCATTGTCCCTGGACAGATTTAAAATGTCAACCCAGAAGCAAACCCATAAAAGCACTTATAACATCAATAATAAAATAACAGTGTACATTTACCATATTTACAATCAGTTAAAAGTTAGTGTTGACATGTCTGTTTTGAGATGAACCATGATTCGAGATGAGTTTTGAACAGATTGTATGAGGCCAGCTCTCTGATGTTTGGTGGGACTGTTCCACTCCTGAGACGCCACAGAGAAGGCGGTCTGGCTGAGGGCGCTCTGGCTGAGGGCGCTCTGGCTGAGGGCGCTCTGGCTGAGGGCGCTCTGGCTGAGGGCGCTCTGGCTGAGGGCGCTCTGGCTGAGGGCGCTCTGGCTGAGGGCGCTCTGGCTGAGGGCGCTCTGGCTGAGGGCGCTCTGGCTGAGGGCGCTCTGGCTGAGGGCGCTCTGGCTGAGGGCGCTCTGGCTGAGGGCGCTCTGGCTGAGGGCGCTCTGGCTGAGGGCGCTCTGGCTGAGGGCGCTCTGGCTGAGGGCGCTCTGGCTGAGGGCGCTCTGGCTGAAGGCGCTCTGGCTGAAGGCGCTCTGGCTGAAGGCGCTCTGGCTGAAGGCGCTCTTCCGGAGTGGGATAACACAGTCCCCACGGGCGACCCCCCCTGGTTACCCTGTGTGTGGTATTTCTTACCGTGATGAATTGGTTGAGTGGAAGTGAAGATGAACCATTGTAGATTACAGGGAATAGAGTATTTGATTGATGATTTCATTTTTTTGCAGTGGTGAAATCTATGTGGTTTGTTGTCCCGTGTCTTAAGTGTTTGCTTGTATAATGATTCTATTGGTATTAGGGATGTTTTGTTTGCCTGAGACCATGTGGTTCAGCAGTATGTAATGTGGGACAGAACCATAGAAAACATGAATAATCTTGCAGAAGTGATAAGTTGGATCTAATGAACCGGGAATTAGCTATGTTGAATTTGACTTTATTGGAAATATTTTTTATGTGAGATTTGAATGTCAGTTTTTAGCCTAATGTTACTCCAAGATATTTATATTCTGTCACGATTTGAATTTTTTGACCCGGAACTGAGATATTGATGTCATCATATGAAGTGTTGGATTTTGAAAAGAACATACCAACCTTTTTATTGACATTGAGCTTTAGGCAGCACTAGGGCTGGGCGATTAATCGATTTTAATCATTAATTCGAGTTTTACGTTTAGGGCGATTTCTTTTTTTTTAAATTCGATTTTTATTTTCTCCAGCGCAGAACTACAGCGCTAACGCGCTAACCGCGGGTCTATGGTGTTGAGCAGTCATTTTGAAGCTAACCTAATGCTAACAGTCTCCCTCTGGCCTGATGCTCGCTGTCACAGTTGGTGCTGTTGCAATAACACTTCAAACGTTCAAGAATCAGACTTTATTTAAATCGCCAGAACACACACACACACGCACGCAGGCTCCGGTCGCTATGTTCGTACGCCACATCTTTCACGCTCTCTCACGCTCGTTATTCCAAAGCGCACTCCCGTGTCCGTGGCGCGCACACACTCGTGTCCCACTGAGCCGCTGCACTTTGGGGAAAGACACGTCTCACACATTGCTCTCATTGCTCTGATACAAACAACGTGTTCCCTGTTGTCTGTTGGCTACAGTAGCTGCTACAGTAGCTGTTAGCTACAGTAGCTGTTACAGTAGCTGTTAGCTACAGTAGCTGCTACAGTAGCTGTTAGCTACAGTAGCTGTTACAGTAGCTGTTAGCTACAGTAGCTGCTACAGTAGCTGTTAGCTACAGTAGCTGCTACAGTAGCTGTTAGCTACAGTAGCTGCTACAGTAGCTGTTAGCTACAGTAGCTGCTACAGTAGCTGTTAGCTACAGTAGCTGTTACAGTAGCTGTTAGCTACAGTAGCTGCTACAGTAGCTGTTAGCTACAGTAGCTGCTACAGTAGCTGTTAGCTACAGTAGCTGCTACAGTAGCTGTTAGCTACAGTAGCTGCTACAGTAGCTGTTAGCTACAGTAGCTGCTACAGTAGCTGTTAGCTACAGCATCAGAATGTAAACAGGAAGCTCGCACAATGCGGGAGCCACTGAAGTTAGTATTAGCGCCACCAGCTGGACCGAGCGTTGTACTACAGCACAGTTACTCAGGCACAGTTGAAAGAACAAGCATGAAAACCCGAGGAGGCTTTGGAAAAGACTGTCTGTTACAACATTTCTATTTTGAGTAATCAGTTTTAAAAATGTGATATTTCATGTAAATAATGCATGTGTTTAATAGGATTGATATATTTGCGATGGGCCTTGTTTGTGTGATTTAAGTTATTTTGAAGGTGCATAGTGTCACTGTAAGTGAAGTTATTATAAAACTGTTAAGCTACATTTTCACTGTTTACAATGGCAGAGCCATCTCGTTTACAAGCATGTTTTAAGGCTTAATTCCTGTTACACTTATGCTCCATGGGGATTTAGATTAAACTGCATAAAGGAAAATCTATTTCTTTGTCAGTTGTAGTTTGTTTTTAAATAGAAAAAAATAAATCGATTAAAATCGAAAATCGGATTTGGTGTGAAAAAATCGGAGATTTTTTTTTTTTGCCATATCGCCCAGCCCTAGGCAGCACTGATTCAACCAATTTGTGATGTGAACCATAGACTGTGATAGTTTGTCGGCAGCTTGTGAGGGGTTCTTGGCGTGTATTTTAAATTGCGGCATGTTAAAACCCTTTAATGCGTCTGTACATAGATGTAAAGACTGGACCGGGTTTGTCTTGCGTAGCTTCATCAGTGTTGGTTCTGGATGGTTCTGCAGCGGGATGCCACCAGTGGGACAGCTGTCATTCCCAGTGGATCTGAGTCTTTCCTTTAAATGAATTTGAATGGAGCGCTGATACAGATAATGCTTTGGTCAATACTCCCCTCCTCCGATCACCGCTGTCCAAGCTGCCAATCCATAAATCAGGGGTTAAATCGCGGCTCTATCACCCCCCGCCCACTGGGAGCCATATTGATCTCCCCTGTGCCTCTTGGGGACCTTTAAAATCCATGTATCCAAACACACTTCTTCCTCTTTGTTGTTCTTTTGGACGTCGATGTAATCTGTCAATCTGTCATTCCAACAGGAGGGAGGGGATAAGGATTGTAAAATGTTCTGCACATTATAGGACTGAGGCTGTAGACCCAGGACTGAGGCCGTAGACCCAGGACTGAGGCCGTAGACCCAGGACTTAGCCTTTTGGCAGTAAAAAGGCAAAGCAGACCAAGGCGTTGTAAAGTTACAGACGGCAGATGCAGACGTCCTCTGGGAGCATTTTTATGACTACAACAATGCTATTGTATTGATGTCATTACTCCAGCGCCAAAGTCTATCACAACTCGTTTATCTCCAGACAAACGATAAGATCTACGTCTGAGCGGAACTATTTTTACTCTTCTTAAAGCTTGGGTTTCTTTTCACTTGAACGTATTTTTGTATCGACCTAAATCTCAACAGCTGTTATCACTGAGGACTTTACAAACTGTTGATTCGCCAACACAGATCAGAGAATCAAACGGGTGTCTCTTTGTATTTATATTTTTTGTCCTCTTTTCCACGTGTTGTCTGAAAAAGCTGATTTAAAGATGCTGCCGAGGTGGACTTTTTATTACAAAAAAATATAAATGTTTTTATGGTTTTGAAGTTGGGTACCCAAGCTTTAATATTGCTAAAGGTATGCTTGTTTTTTCATTAAATATTAGGACCATAATTACCTGTACAGTTACACACACACACACACACATTCATATGCAGACACTCACATAAACATACACACACAAAGAAATACACTTGCACAAAAATATACACACACACACAATAATTGTGGTCAATAATTGCCTATAATTGTTACATACTAATGAAACTTTATGAACCAGTGACTATGTTTTGCTAAAGAATGAATGTAATTTGGTCTCAGATTCTATTGTGCTCAGAATAACACGGATCAAATGCCTGTTCCTCAGTGAGATGACCTCTGGGGCCTTAGGGACCAGGACTGACCCGGGACTCACCCGGGGCTTAGAGCGGCGGCAGTAGCTCATGAGTCCCCCCCTGGGGCCTCAGCACTTTCCAATGACATCAATAATTACCTCAATTACTTTAAACACATCAGCGATATGTGATAATGGGCAGATGTAGGTTTGGTCCGAGTCCTGGTTTAGTTTTGGGTTGTCCCTGGGTTTCCACAAACAAGATTCCAACAGAAAACTAGAAGCCTGTCTCATGTTTTCCGGAAGACTGTTCCAGATTTTATTCTCATAAATATGAAACGCTGCCTCCTCATGTTTCGTCCTGACTCTGGGACCAGCTGAAGGCCAGTCCCTGTGCTCCTCCGAGTCCCTGCAGGAGGCTGGTCCCTGTGCTCCTCCGAGGCCCTGCAGGAGGCCAGTCCCTGTGCTCCTCCGAGTCCCTGCAGGAGACCGGTCCCTGTGCTCCTCCGAGTCC